ACTCGTTGTCCAGAATTAGAGGCCTTATCTGCTGGGGCGGCGTTTTTAGGTCCGGACCGACCACAAGAGCCGTAAATTTTTGTTGGAACAGCTGACCGCCATGGAGATACAGCAAAAATGGATAATTAAGTTGAGGGGATATGATTTTGTCATTGAATACGAGCAAGGGAAATACAACTAAGTGGCGGATGGGATGTCCTGAAAAGGGGAATCATCGATGCTTTGCGTACTAACACTTCCCAGCCCGACATGGTGGGGATCCGTAGTAGAACTAAACGAAACAAATGCGGAAATCAATGATTTGAAAGTGATGATTAAAGATGGGAAATTGAGTACACCGTGGTCATTCAAGAAGGGGGTGCTTTTCTACAATGATCGAATCTATTTGCTCGAGGACTCAGACTTTGTTCCTATTATTCTGCAACAGTACCATGATCTCGGCCATGAAAGTTTTTATAAGACCGTGCAGTGCATTAAGGAATGCTTCCACTGGAAGAACATGAAGACAAGGGTCAAGGACTGGATTCAAAGGTGTGATATTTTTCAAAGGAACAAGTATGACCAGCAATTACCCGGAGGACTCCCACCACCATTGTCTATCCCTACTCAAATATGATTTGATATCTCGATGGATTTCGTGGAAGGACTTCCACAGCCAAAAGGAAAATCCGTTCTCCTAGTGATAGTTGATAGATTGACTAAATATGGGCATTTTTTACCCATGGCACACCCTTACACAGCCAAGACGGTGGCTCAATTGCTCTTTGAGCAAATATTCCTCCTTCACGAGATGCCATAGTCAATTGTATGTGATCGGGATCCCACATTCACCAGTCATTTTTGGATTGAGTTATTTTGCCTCTAAGGGACTAACTTCAATTTCTCATCCGCATACCACCCTCAAATTGATGAACAAACGGAAGTTGCTAATCGGACCATTCGAATGTACCTAAGATGCTTGTCAAGAGCTAAACCCAAGGACTGGGTTCGTTGGGTGCCTTGTGCTGAGTATTGCTACAATACTAGCTGGCACTCCGCCACCAAGATTACCCCTTTTGAGGTAGTATACGGACGAGCTCCCCAAGCCTTTTATGCTATGTTCCGGGTACTGCCAAGTCGTCTGAAGTGGATGAAACTTTGCGAGTCAGGGATCAGATGATCGAGCTCCTTCGAACCAACCTGGCAACTGCTCAAAACCGAATGAAGCAGGTATATGACAAGAAACACACTGAGAGGGAGCTAGAGGTGGGTGGCTAGGTTTATTTGAAGTTATAGAACTATAGGCAGAGCTCGATAGAACGGTACAAGAACCAAAAGCTCTCTCCTCAGTATTTTGGCCCTTACCGTGTTCTCAAAAAGATCAGAGCCAAGGCTTATCGCTTAGAGCTACCTCCGGGAAGTAGAGTACATCCCGTATTTCATGTTTCTCTGCTTAAAAGGAAGGTCGGAGGTCAAGAAGTAGTGGCTGAAGAACCCCCTCAATGGGAACCTTTCTCAGCACAGGAGCCTGCGGAGATCCTGGCAATGTGATGGATGGCTGATAGGGAGGAGTTTCTGATACGTTGGAAGGGCAGCTCTAAAGCAGAGGCTTCATGGGAGACTAAGGAGACACTGCAGACTCATTACCCCAATTTTTCCATTCCTTGAGGACAAGGAATGTTTCAGATGGAATGTTTCGGAAGGGGAGGCAATGTTATGGATCCATTAATTAGCCAAGGTTGGATTAGTCTTTTATTGTTATTTCTTTTCTCTTATGTTATTTTACTGATGCATGAAGGAGGGCTGTGGTCCCAATCTTGTTATTTTTACTTTTATTATTTCTAATTCTAAGAAACGGTTATAACTGAATTAGGCGAGCCCGTATGGGTTGAGGAGCCTATCAGGCTATAAAGGACTCTGTAAAGAATGATTGGTCAACAGATGAATATACACCCTTTTAGCATTTTTGATTGTCTTTTTCCATCTTGCACCATATTTTTCTGTCACCATAGCTAAGAACAGGCGAGGATGGAGTCGAGGGACCGCAGGAACGAAGGTCGATAACAGAGAAAGGCTTGCGTAACAAACAAGGCTCCTATGACAAGTGCTGTGCAGTAGCAATCAATAGTGTATATATAAGTAGATAAGATTGAGTCTTTTAACATCAAAAAATCACCACCACAAGAGTTTAGGTTTGGGATTCTAATATTATCTCTTTTACAGGCGAAAAACACATGACATGATGAAAAGAAAAACTTTTTTTAATTATTTTTGCTTATGCTCTTCTCTTTGATTACCATGCATGAATTAGTCGCTTTAGATAAATCTATACTGTCACATGTTCAATTCACTTTCACGAGAGAGAGAAATAGGCGTAGGCATCAAATAATGGCTAATTGAAATATATGAATGTCACGAAAATAGACATCAAATAATGAAGTAATTGAAATATTGAGAATTTGAGAAAACTCTCAAGAAATATTATTTTATTCATCGAAAACTGTTGAAAATTAAATAACACAAACGTCCTTGAAATAGATAACTACCCTACCTGGATTCAAAATCCAAATCTTACCATAACTCAAATAAAAGGAAAGTAACTATCCTATACTAATAATTATCGTATTCAACATTTAAACGAAAAAGATAAGGCCCAAATCGTAATATAATTATAATTATCCTAAAACAATTTTCAAATAAAAGATAAGATAATAAAGATAAAAGTAGATAAATATGAAACTCTTATTGTGATTTTATACGGCTGCATCAAATTGCCAATCATAAATATGGAGAAGCGAGAGGAAGAAAGAAGGAACTTTCTGGTCGGAGCCCCAGCACCATATCTGGGCACGTCCTAGTTCCTGGCTTTGTATTTTCGCCGGTGGTGGCCGGGTTGGTGTTTCTAGTTACGAGACACAAGTGTCAAGTAAAGGAAAGCTATTTACTATTTACCATCTTGTTAAAAAGTATGATTAAAAAGATTATATAATCCCTGAAAATTAGAAGGTAAATACAATATTAGTGCTGGAAGTTCGGGTCGGCGGGCTGCCCGAAGCCTGACTTTTTTTGGGCTCGGGCGGGCAAGCCCATTTCCCGCCCGCCCAAGCTAGATTTTCAGGTTCGGGCTCGGGTAGTCCGAATTTGACATTGACTCTCTTGTCCGCCGCCGTCTAACCACCGTATACCGCCATCCGCCGGAATTTTTTTGAATTTTTCCGACCATGCCTGACCCGCCCGAATTGCCCGACCCAAAAATAAACCTGAAAACCTGAATTTTGCCCGAAACCCGGCCGAAAATATTAGTTGCTACAAATTGGGGCATTCTGAGAATTGAACGCAAGACCTCTCACACCCAAAGCAAGAATCATACCACTAAACCCAATGCCCATATTTGTTATTTAAATTTTTAACTTATTAATTAAGGTAAACACACAATTCCTTAATAGAAAGAGCAAATTCCTATTTTAGCAGTTTAATATTTCAGTTTTCACATTCTTGACCCTTTTTTATAATTAATCACATGATAAAATGATTCCTCAAAAAATAATATACACAAGGAAAGAAACACATTGCCATCACGTTTTTATTATTTTTTATTTTTAAAAAGTACTCTTTCTATATAATGCCGGTTTTGTTCTTATAGATACTCGTGTTTTTCTACTCTATATCACTCTTCTTTCTATCTTTATCTATTTTTCTGTTCACAATCTCTCCTCATCCTCTTAATTATCCTCTTTTTTCTTCCACTTTCTTCACTCTCTTTGTGACTCTATATCAAAGTAACTTTCTACTTGCATACCAAAGTAAATTAATAATTTATCAAAAGTCACTCAATGATTGGTTTGGTTTAATAACTTCATCGCTATTTGATGATCTCTATTTTAAAAGACCAGTCACTCAATGTTGAAGCCTTGGTTTGCATTAAGGATTGGGATCGGGCTGATCAACATTTACAAGATACAATTTCACCGGCAAGCCAATAATGGATCGATGAATTTAATCGATTAACATTTAATTTTGAAGACGATCCTTTAGCTTTAAATTAAATTGTAAATTTGTAATTTGTAAATATGTATTTACCTTTGACATTGTATTTGTAATTGTATAACTTTGTAAGTTTATAAAATTTATAATTCGTCACAATATGATTGCACTCTCACAACATAACTTAATATTAAAAAAAAAGTTTAAATAATTCGGGCAATTCAGGCGGGCTCGGGCCGTCCGGCCGAGCTCAGGCCGCCCGGCCGAGCTCGGGCCGCCTAATACAAGCCCGCGGCCCGTTCAAGATGAAATTCGGGCTCAAGCGAACGGCCTGAATTTCTCAAACGGCTCGGGCCCGGGCTCAAGCAAAAACTCAGACTTTTCAGATGGTCGCGGGCGGCCCGTCCAAAATTCCAGCACTGTACAATATCAAAAAGCTATCCACTAGTTACTATATACCACCCGGATAATCATATATTTATGACTTATTAAAACCAATTATTTTAACCACATCATAGAGAAAAAAGAAAGTATAGAACGAATTCTATATTTGTAAAAGTTGCATATTTCCTGAAAAAAAGAAAAAGAAAATTGCACGTATATTATCAGACGGAAGTAGCGATATACAGCATACATCAGAATAAATAAAGATAAAATAAATGAATGAAAGGTAAACAGATAACCTAAAAAATAAAGATTAAATTAGCAAATAAAGACTGATTTGAATTTTATGAAATTTGCATCAACGGAATAAGATTTCTTTCCTCCTAAAAACGGAATCTGAATTTCAAACGTAAAAAAAAAGGGAATCGGAATTTCGAAAAAAATTAACAAGTAAAACGGATCGGAATCCAAACGAACACCGAATCTACATCAATCTTAATTTAACAATTAAAAACAGATTTTTATTATTATTATTATTATTTGCATTTTATACCAAAACGGACCGTACAGAAAACGGGACCAAAAAAATAAGAAAAGAAAAACCACAATAACGAAAAGTCGTACTCTCTCACCTATTTATACCAAAAACCGAACGTACGAAGCTCTCCATCCAAAAACACTCCCCGCTTTCCCGTCTCTCTCCTCGCTCTTTCTCTCTCTACAGTCATGGCGGCCGCCCTGAACTGCTCGGCGGCCCAACTGGCCCAACTCCTGGGTCCAAATACGACGAATCCCGAGGCCGCCGCCTCTCTCATCTGCGACCAGTTCTCCGTCGTCTCCAACAAGTTCTCAGACACATCCTACGCCATCGACACGACCTACCTTCTCTTCTCCGCCTACCTCGTCTTCTCCATGCAGCTCGGCTTCGCCATGCTCTGCGCCGGATCCGTCCGAGCCAAGAACACCATGAACATCATGCTCACCAACGTCCTCGACGCCGCCGCCGGTGGACTCTTCTACTACCTCTTCGGCTTCGCCTTCGCCTTCGGGTCTCCCTCCAACGCCTTCATCGGCAAACACTTCTTCGGCCTCAAGGAAATCCCTGACCCCTCCTTTGATTACTCATATTTTCTCTATCAGTGGGCCTTCGCCATCGCCGCCGCCGGAATCACCAGCGGATCCATCGCCGAGAGGACTCAGTTCGTGGCCTATTTGATCTATTCGTCCTTTCTCACCGGATTCGTTTACCCCGTGGTTTCTCACTGGTTCTGGTCCGTCGACGGCTGGGGCGGCGCGGGGAGAACCTCCGGCGATCTTCTATTCGGCTCCGGAGTCATTGATTTCGCCGGATCTGGTGTCGTTCACATGGTCGGAGGCGTCGCCGGGCTTTGGGGAGCCCTAATCGAAGGACCGAGAATCGGAAGATTCGGAGGCCCTAACGGTCGTACGGTCGCTCTCCGCGGCCATAGCGCGAGTCTCGTTGTCCTCGGGACCTTCATGCTCTGGTTCGGATGGTACGGATTCAACCCAGGCTCCTTCACCAAAATCCTATCGGCCTACAGCTCTGGTGGCTACTACGGCCAGTGGAGCGCAGTAGGCCGGACTGCCGTCACGACGACCCTAGCCGGATGCACCGCTGCCTTGACGACTCTCTTCGGGAAGAGAATCCTCTCCGGTCACTGGAACGTCACCGACGTCTGCAACGGATTACTCGGCGGCTTCGCTGCCATAACCGCCGGGTGCTCCGTCGTCGAGCCCTGGGCGGCGATTATCTGCGGCTTCGTCGCCTCCGTGGTGCTGATCACGTGTAACAAGCTCGCCGAGAAGGCCAAATTCGACGACCCGCTGGAGGCGGCGCAGCTCCACGGCGGGTGCGGCGCTTGGGGGATCATCTTCACGGCGTTGTTCGCGACGAAGAAGTACGTCAACGAGGTCTACCCGACGGAGAAGGGCCACCGGCCCTATGGGCTTTTCATGGGCGGAGGAGGGAAGCTCCTGGCGGCCCACTTGATCCAGATCGTCGTGATATTCGCGTGGGTCAGCGTCACCATGGGCCCACTGTTTTACATTCTTCACAGGCTCAAACTCCTGAGAATCTCTCCGGAGGACGAAATGGCGGGTATGGATCTGACCCGACACGGAGGATTCGCTTATATTTACCATGACGAGGACGAGTCTCAGAAACCCGGATTTCCCCTAAGGAAAATTGAGCCAAACAACGCCACTACTCCTCCTTCCATTTAGGTTTTTTTTTACTTTTACTTTTAGTTTTAGTTTTCTTTTCCTATTAACAACTATTATTTTTACTTCCATAATTGTTATTAATATTTTAATATTTTCTCAGTAATATTTTAATATTTCTTAAAAAATGTTGATAAATTTTTGTGTGGTTGGTTGGTGGTGGCGACCTTGGACTAAGAAAAAAGATTCTGTTTTCCTGCTTCGTAATTGGTCATTAATGTATTATATTTGCTATATGGTTAGGAAAACGAAGGATATTTTATTGTTGTTTTCTTTGTGCGTGAATTTGTTTTTGTTTTGTTTGAATTTTGGGTCGTGATATTTAGAGAGAGAGAGAGAGAGATATGGTAGGGAGTGGTATTCCGAGATTGTGGGTTGTTTTGTTTTTTGGTGGCCAGTGAATATATATAGACAAATTTTATAAATTCCCTAAGTTTATTACTTGTATTAAAATGACTCTTAAATTTTAAAATGTGTATGTTATACTTTTAAAATTTTATTATTTGTGTCAACATGCTCTTTAAGGTTAACTCGGTTAAGATTTTTTAAAAGAAACGTTTATAAACATCCCTTAAATTTTGTCACTTATGTCAATATGTTTTCTGAACTTTAAAATACATATATTTTATCATCCGAACTATATGTCTCTAATTTTTCTCCATCTATCTTGATTCTATCAGTTTTTTGAACGAAAATATTGATATGACCATTAAATTACTATTTATTTATAATATTTGACAATTAAAATTTATTAAGTTAATGGGTTTTTTAAAGTGTGTGTTGATTATTTTTAAAGGTATAATGAAATAAATGATCTGAACGCATTTAAATTTAGAAATGCTATATATGTATAAAATATGAATATGTTTTATGTCGAGCACTTTTATTTAGCTGAAATATTAAGAAAAAATAACAAAATTTATTATATTATACAGATTTGTTCATAATTTTTTTTTCTCTTTACTGCCTCTAATCAACTAATATTTTTAGAATTGATGCTTAACTAACATTTTTAGAGGAGAAAGTATTTAATAAACTTCAAATATCATAGATAATTAGTAATTTAATGGTTTTATCAACATTTTTGTTTAAAAAACTGATAGAATCAAGATGAAAAGAAAAAGTTAGAGATATATAATAGTTCGTAGGGTAAAATAAGTTTATACTAAAATTTAGGAAACATTAATACAAGTGATAAAATTTAAAAGATATTTATAAATATTTTTATTAAAAAATTTAACAAAATTAACCTTAAAAAGCATGTTAATATAAATAATAAAGTTTAAAAAACACAATATAAACATTTTAAAATTTAAGAGTACGTTGACAAGAGGTGAATTTATAAAATTTGTCCTATATAATGCAACTTGGAAATTTGGAGTCGACCAATGCGGTTTTGACAGCAATGATTTAATTGGAATGGAGTTCCTGCAATTTATGGTTTTCGGCTGTAGTTACTTCCATGGGCCCCAAATCTTTTGGAGTGCCTGGGAGATTCCTGGGAAAATTCAATATCAGGAAAAGTGTTTCTTTTTTCTTTTTTTGAAAAGTTGTGTTTAAAGGAATATTAAAGAAAAAAAAAGGAAAAAAGAAAATATATATCAGTAAAACCACGTGTCTATAATTTTTTTTTTTTTATGTGGTAGAAAGGTGGGCACGTTTAGCATCCATGATGGAACTTTTGGCTAGATGTTGTTGGCACGCAAGAGATAAATGATTGGATCGTATTTCCGCTTTCTTATTTATTCATCTAATAAAAGCTAATTTTTGTTCCTCAAAAAGAAAAAAAAAAGATGTAATTTTAGCTAGAAAAGAATATGGCGCTACTTTCTCATGGATATTTTTCCACATGCATAATGACCCTTTTTCTTTTCTTTTTTTTTTTTTTTTTTCTTTTCTTTTCTTTTTTTTTTTTTTAATGTAATCATGCACGGCTTGAATCCGTTTATTTGTCATAGATCCAAACTAAATGGATATTTTCTTGGTTACTTTTGTGAGAATGCTTAAGGCGATTTTTAAGAATTGGCTTTGCCAACTTTTCATTTACAGTAGTGGATACTATATACAATTAACATGGAAAAAAAAAAAGATACTAGATGATTCTCTCATCACTATTGACTAGTTTCATAAAATACATAAATTACCCAAGAATAAAATATTTACAACCACAAATGTAGGGATTACAAATCTGCCGTCAATGACTTATTTCCCTTAACGTTAGAGCTCTAAAACATGAGAATAGTTTACCTTTTTTCCTTTTCATTTTTTTTTTTGAAAGAATTATAATTGACTTTTTTTGAAAGGAAATTTGCATTCTATTAAAATATTAATAAAAAGTCGTCTTAGTACAATGCTAACATATAAGAGAGACAGACGTACGCCTGAGGCCTAAAATCAGAAAAGCACCTTAGCACACTAACAACGATCAGACTGAAAGCTCAACTAGAGAAAATCTCTCTCCTCAAGATAAACTGTCGAGCGTTGGAGGGACAGATCGTCAAAATCCACAGAAATGAGACATCTACGTGGCATAAAAAAAGTTCTAGCCGGACCAAGACCACCCTATTAGCATTAAGCCGAACATATAAATCTAACAAAAAATAACAAACCAAACGAGAGTCGGGTTGGGAATGACCAACCTTATTACAAACACAAAAGTGACGAAAAGAAAAAAAAAAGCCTCCGACCACCGGTGATAGAAACATCTGGTGAAGGGCATCCGGCCATAGGACCATCAAGGAAGATAGCCAGCAAAGAGATCTCAGTCACCAAGTAGAAAACTCCCCTGAGAAAGGAGACCGTCTATTCGGCTTTCAAGCACTTAACCGATTCAGATTTACTGAAATGGAGCCACCACATCGTACATAGTGGTGGAACTTCGGGCGACGGGCCTGTCCGAAGCCCAAAAATTTTTAGGCTCGGCGGACAGGCACCTAACGCCGCCCGTCCACCCGAATTACCCGGGCTCGAGCTCGAGCAGCCTGAGAAAAAAGCCCTTCCCCGCAGCCCGCCGCCGGTGGAGGAGCCGTGACTGCCGGCCGCCGGTTTTTTTTTTTAGAATTTTCCACCGTAACCCGAAGCCCAAAGTTTTGCCCGAAAACCCAAAAAAACGGCAACTTTTTTTGAATTTTGCCTGACCCGACCCGAACATATATTTTTGACCGTTAGCCCGAATTTTTGAATGCAACGGCTATATTTGCCAGACCCGACATGCCGCCCGCTTGCCTGACTCCAACGGCTATATTTTTTACCGTTGCCCGAGCTGCCCGAACCCGACCCGACCCGCCGAAAGTGAAGTTACCGTTGGAGCCGAATTTTTAAGGGAAAAAAAATTTTTTCAAGCCAAAAAATTCCCTATAAATACCCCCCTCCTCCAACCATTTTCCTCCTCCAAAAACTCTCATCCTCTTTTAATTTCTCTCAATCTGTTTCAAATCTTTCTTAATCTCTCTCAAATCTCTCTTAATATTGCTCAAATCTCTCTCGATCTCTCAAAGAGTTCTCAATCTCTCTTATTTTTCATAATGGATTCTTCCGGTTATGGTGGTGATATTCCCGGAGATGCCCAATTCAACATCAAAGAAGGGCAATTTCCTATTAATTTTTTTCAAACGCAGGAATCACAAACACTAGAAAGAGCTGCTGAGGAAACTGCAAATTCGAGCCCTGGTAGACGTACAAGAGGTCGTGGACCTCGTGGTCGTAATGGTGGTGGGCGTGGAGAAGAGGCAAGCGGAAGTGCTAGTGCAAGTGTTGCAAGTTCCAAGAAGAAATGCAAGCGCACCTCAACAGTTTGGGAGCACTTCAACACATTCGAGGAAGTCGATAATAACGGTAACATTGAATACATAGCTCAATGCAAATATTGTGGTGATAAATTATAAGGTAACACTATTTACGGCACAACACACTTGAGAAGACACTCTGAAAAGTGTATTCAAAAGCAAGGAGGCGGACCCGATCTCTGCCAAACACAATTATTATTTGACTACCAAACTGGCGGTCTAACCACTTAGAAATACGATCCGCAAGTTGATCGTATGGAAATGGCACGATTAGTAGCCACATTAGACCAGCCACTTAATGTTACCGAACAAAGGAATCGGCAGCGTTATATTAAAATTGTACATAATCCTAATGCATAATTTCTTTCAAGAACTACTCTTAGGAAAGATGCATTAAAATTATATAAACAAGAAAGGAAAGCATTAATCAACCTTTTACACTCTACTAGTGGTTGCGTTATATTAACAGTGGGTATTTGGTTTGCTGTTGCCAACAAAGATTATTTAGCTGTAACCGGACATTATTTTAAAGATTTTGATTTAGATAAAAGAACATTAAGTTTTAAATGTGTTATAGGATCACATACTGCCAATTTAATATATAATACAATTTTATCTATCATTGATGAATATAGTTTAAGGGATAGAGTAATTGCTATAACATTAGAGAATGCTACTGTAAATACTAAAGCAATAGAACTTTTTGAAAATGATTTAAGTTTATTGGTAATAAAGATATATTTCACCAACGTTGTGCATGTCATGTAATTAATTTAATAGTCAAATCCGGTTTAAAATCAATGTCAGGTCATATTAAAAGAATTAGAGATAACATTACATGGATTCAAGGTAGTAATTAAAGAATACAAGATTGGTTTAGGTTTCTACAAGCATGTAATCAAAATCCTAAAACATTAGCCTTAGATATGCCCGTAAGATGGAACTCCACTTATATAATACTTGAACAATGCATCCCCTATAAAGATGCTATAACAAACTATGTTTGTACAAAATTTGGACCATGATTTATAGACCAAACTGATTGGCAAATTGCTGAACTTTTATATAACTTTTTAGGTAGATTTCACGAAGTTACTTTAAAGCTTAGTGGAACATACTACCCAACATCACTATTAGCATTAGGAGAACTTTTAAGAATGACTATTTTATTTAGTGAATTTAGGACACATGAGGTTTTAAGAGTTCCTATCGCTTCTATGGAAAAGAAGTTTAAAAAATATTAGGCTAAATTACCAATGTTGTATGGTTTCGGTGTT